TTGATGTAAATTATGTTGGGGACTCATAAGCGAGTCTCTCAGTGAAATGTGGTTATTGTGGTGATTGTCCTTCATGTGAAAGTTCGATATGTGAGTTTATGAATGACCTATCTTCATGTGGAAGGTGTTTATATGAGTTTATGGGTGAACCCTCTTTAAGTGGGAGGTGGTTATGAAATTTTATGATTGACTCCCCTTTAGTGGAATGCAATTAAATTATTTTAATGGCATGGAAAGCAGTTTAAATGATAAAGTATTACGAGAAAGACCAACAAACGGTGAAAATTTTAGAATGTCGCAAATATTGTAAATTATTTTAGAATTGATTTTAAGATGTGTGACCTACTTGCTCTGATAAAGTGGGAGGCCACAACCCTGTGAATCTTATGGTGAATTTTGATTTTTTGAAATGACGCTATACCCTCTTTGCCGTCTCATACGGGGTTGGTAAATATCATCGAGTCAAGCGGATTTCTACGTAGTCCGGCAGTAGGTCCATACCATTCAGTCAGTATGATGCTAATCTTAAGATACGCGCGAGGATGTCTAACCGAAGGGTAGTTTTTAGCATCACTGGGGTGCAACCCTATGTATTAGTTGCTAATCGGCGCAACCTGGCAGCCGACCCACGTCTCACCAAATTGTAAGGTTTGAGGGGTGTGGCCGCCCCAAAGAGCCTCACTCTTGCGGGATGTCAGAGGGATAAGAGTCAAGTCTTTTTTTTTTTTTAGTACTGATAGAAGTCTTACCAGTAAAAAATATTTGTCATTATGTAACCAGCGAGGGCACCGTTGCTAAAATAATAACGCGGCGGGTCGTATATCTGGCTCGATCAACCAGATCAAGGTAGGTGTGGATGGACATCTGACCCTCCTGTACAAGGCTTCAAAGAAAACATGTGATAAAAATTTATATTTTTGTGAACATTTTGTTAAAAAGGTAAGAGAGTCTTATAAAGGTCTCGATTAAGGTCCGTGTCGTGAGTTATGGATCCGCATGAGGGATGATGATTAAAACAGGAAACCAATTGATAAACCGACAATTGTCTAGGACAAAAGGAGAGGACTATCGAGAGTTTTATAACCGCTCCGAACTCTATGTTGTAGTACATATCAAGTATCATGGAGTCCAAGGTCAAGACAAGGGAGACCCAGGTTGAAACCCTGACAACAAATAGTTGTGCCAAACACTGATCGATGCAACCCTCAAAACAAAGTCAGTCGGGCGATCGGAGAAGATCTTCTCTCGTCAACATTTAAGTTATGGTTGTAATTGATAGTCTTTGATTATTCGGAGCGATGGGGACATCGCTTAATGTGGTCCAGTATATATTGTCGGTACGAATACCCTTATAATGGTATCCGCCCTGGTTTTTGCAAATGACTTGAAAAGTTGGGTGCGTTGTGCGAGTCGCGACCGTAATTTCGTTTAGGCTAGCGGAATGTTTGACAAAAAATATGCAGTGTGTGGGCGTACGTTTTTTTAGCGCACATGATTTTCTTTGATTCTTGAATTTGGTTGAGAATTTTGCCAAGACCCTCAGACAAAATTGTTTGTATTGCACTTTCGTACAACATAGTTTGTTTTTTTTTTGAAAAATTAAAATTTTAAATAACTTAGAAAACGGAATGTCCCACCAACGAGCCTAGCTCAGTTGGTACACCAATGAATTGTTGAATTACAAACCTAAGTTCAAATTATGATGGATGTTGCTGACTGAAATTAAATAATTATGAATTAATTGAGGCCGTTGAACTGGATGATGATGGCTCACGACCGTTGCCCTATGAAAATAAGAAAAAAAACACAGAATATCATTGTCATAAAATAATATTTTTATTCTTGTTTTTTATTTTTTTCTCAAATTTGGTTGTGAATTTCGACATGACCCTCATACAAAAGTTGTTTGTATTGCAATACGGATATTATACTGTACAATTTTTTTATTTTTATTTTTTTAAATAGAAATGTCAAAAAAATTGAATACAACGTACGTACGTTATATTCGTTTACAACGCACATACGTTATATTCGACCATACGTTCCATTCACTAAAACAATCGTGATTTCTGGGGACCGTTTTTTCAGAGGTAAGTAGAATAGAATGTACGAACGTTTTTTCGGGTTAAGACAATAGGCATGTATGTACAACAGTCAGTAAAATCACATCTGCAAAACCACACTGCAACCGTGACCAAAGGCATGTGTCGAAGAAGAAAGGGAACATTACTACTAGAATGTACAGGACCAAACTCTATATGCACATCGCTTGTATTGTACAAGGCTGCTTCAAGTTCGACGACTAAAAACTACAAGCTATATGTACACACATCACACACGAAGGTCGGCCACTCAGCAGCGCTGCCAGAGCCAGCCCATTTGTGTACTACATTGCAAAAGGCCGCATTATCAACAAGGAACCAATCCAAAAAAAGGAGCATTGGAAGTCATGACCCGTAGCACCAAATTTACACAAACATGATTTTACAAAGGTACACCACCGACCGAAGCTCATGTAGTACACCCGATTCCCACAACAAAGTGTCAATCTCAAAGAGAGCTTTGCAGCGGCTCACATCATGAACGGAAAGCAAGGACCATACAAAATGATACACAGACGACCTGCAGTGCAAGAGTCCCTCATCGATATAAAAAAACAAAGTGGATACCTCACGAAAAGAAAGATGAAAAGTGGATCTCCGACAAGCTGCCTGCTGCGACAGCGACCGTCAGCAGACCCGGAAAATGGTGCCAACACGACTGGAACGACTTGATAGCTTTTGCGGAGACTTTAAAGGTCCATTCTGCAAGAATTGTTTGCTTGATGTTATATTCACCTTTGCCCTCACCATGGGCGGGGTAAGCTGCTTGTGTCGGCGAGTTGCCGAGTTCCTCAAGGCCCACAAGGTCCAAAGTATGGCGCCGTGCAGTACTTCCTCTGCCCGGGCCAAGGACGATAGCGCAGTGCCTCTCCTCACCGCCGATCCCAGCAAAATAAAAGCATCAGTCCACCGAACTGGAGGCCACGGAACCAGAGCATTTGCCCACCACCATGCCTCCAAGGCGCTCCTCTTTGTCAGATCTGTCCACGCAGCCGCAAAGGACCTGCAGCACCTGTACCTGTACTGGGACCTTTCTCAGCCTTTTTGGGCATGGTGGCAGACAATTCCTATTTTTGGTGGGAGCCTTTCTGTACCCCTTGAGTTTGCAGTTCCCATCAGTCCAGACTGCCCATCTGGACAGACTTTTTGTTTTTTTGTCTTTCATAGGCATGTGGGACACAATTGCATGAAACGAGAGCTTTGGTGAGGTGGGGTGGTGACACTGGCGAGGCATGTGGCTTCAAAAAGAGAGCTTTGGTGAGGTGGTTTGGCAAGGCATGGGGCTTCGCTCTAGTACTCACCACATGCGCAGTTTTATTTATTTTTATTATTTTCAGGCCCTTTTTAATTCATTATAGTAACCCTGTAGCAGCCACATCCGTGCTCAAAGCCTCCAACGAGGGAACATGCGGGGGCTGCACCCACCAGCAGGCACGTCACCTGCTACAGTAGCCAGGGGTCAGCCGGCCTCTGCTCCCCTCCATCAGCAGTCTCTGCTCAATGCCACTCGGGGGGACCAATGGCCTATCTCTAGGCGGCGGGCGCCAAGCAGCTCGCCCAGGGAGGTACATGAGGCCAATGGGGATTGAACCCAAGACCTCCCCACTGCCACTTCCGTGCCTTACCAACGGAGCTAGGCCGCTGGATCACTTTGCACACTTGGTTTCCGTCAGTTTTTCTTTTTTTTTTTTTCGAAAGGGATGGTCGCAAGGCTGTGTAGATGTATGAGGGGTCTGTGAAAAACTAACCTGAGAACTCACGGACCATTTTCGTGGCCCATGGTTTTGGCCCATGGTTTTGCTGAGAAGTCACGAACCATTTTCGTGGCCCATGGTTTTGCTGAGTTTTCAGGCCTGCCCTGAGTTTTCAGGCCTGCCCGCATTCGTGAAAACTCACCGAGCTAGCCCAGTAGGTACCGTCGTCAAACTGTCACCCTGCAGACCTAGGGATCGAGCCTAACCGCACGTGCCTCACCGACCATTTTCGAGGTTGGTCAACGGTGCGGCGAGGCCCTGAGCACTGCTCACCAACCTCGCCCCTGTCGAAAACAATGCCCAAGTTATTGAAAAAAAAAAGGGGGCATAGAAAACAATGCACAAGCTAGTCTATCTAATCTAATCTCTGTAAGAAATTCCGAAATTCCACAAAAAACGAACGCTAATTATCCGACATAATTCCCTCCCTACGTACTAGCCCACGATTCTGTTCCACAAGATCATTCATCTAATCTGTCAGTCATTTCTGTTTTTTCCGTCCTCACGAAGAGGCCATGCTAATCTTTTTTGGCCATGGTTCCAATTTTAACGAATGTCCTGGGGAGAGGTCCCACTAGCAAAGACGATTGCATTGAACGCCTGCATCTGGACGTGTTTGTGGAAAGGAGTAGAAAATCGCATATCCGCTTTTCTGCATCCCTGCGTAAAACACTTCCAGATTCAGGCGCTTAATCCAATCCGCTTTGCTAGTGGGACCTTGGGTTCAAAGGACACGATAAGATTGCATGATTATATAATAGAAGGTAAATGAAAATTGCTCAAAATGTTAATTGTTGTAATTTGCATTCTATTGGTAATTGAGGATGAAAAATTGGCACTGCTTCCTTTTTTTTTTTTTTTTTTTTTTTTTTTTTTTACTGCTTCCTTTCTCTCCTCTTCGGCCCCCCCGAAATAGCACTTTTATTCACAGTGCCCAGTGCCCAAGGCATCGTCATTTTGTAATTGGCACTGCTTCAAATCCATTGGGCCTCGGACTCACCACATCCACAAAAAGACAAAAAATATGGCGGTGTATCTTCCCTTGCTACTAAATAGGAAAGTCTATTGTTACCTATACTTCCTTTTTATCCAGTAATTAATTGTTGCCGTTACCAGTTAACCGATCGTTTATCGTCTGGCAAGAGGCGGGCTTACGTGCTCGTCGTCTGAAACAGGTCAGCCCAATCAGACCCCCTACTCCTGTGACAGTGTCTCCTCGCGCCTCTTTTCCCGCCTTTTTCACCCTTCCGCCAACCCCCCTTTTTCCCCACCCTGCTCCGCTTTGTTTCCCCCCCGTTGGCGCGTTTCTCCCTTACTCTGGCTTGCCGCCCTCTTTCTCTTCTTCTCCTCCATCCCCCGCTGCTTCCTCCGTGCCCACTTTCTGTCCCGTTCTGCGGACACGCTTTCCCATGTCCTCCTTTCCCATTTCTGCCCCCCGGCCCCGCTCTTCGTTCCCGCGGGCTTCCGTTCCGCTTCCTCCCGCCCATTCCCCGCTGAACATCTCCGCTTTCTCCTCCTTGCCCACCCTCTGAACATCTCCGCTTTCTCTTCCTTTGCCCATCCGCCGTCCTGCTTTCGGTTTATTCTCTCGGCGGTCTTCCTTCCCGCCTTCCTTCGCTCTCTCCCTCCTTGTAGCCTCTACCTCTAAAGGCCTCACCGCACTAGTCACCAAGTATGTGACGTGGGGAATCTAATCTTTTGCTGCCACGTGGCAAGCAAGATTCACCCGCCCTAGTTTTTATCCTTTTCTCATTTGGTGAGTGGTGCGCCAGAGCCCTATACACTTTTCACTAAATGTTTTCGCTCATCGCGCACGTGCTTCGTCTCACAGCGGCGATGGCGGTTTCTCTTCGTCTTTGCTGCTCTCTCCTCGTGTCGTCGTCGTCGTCGTTTGCCTCCTCGTTTGCCTCCTCCTGATTGCATTTCCTCACATCGCCCGTGTTCCTGAACGAGACTCGCTATAGC